TGCACGTGCAGATGAATAACATGGGTTGTCCCTGGAAAGAGTCCTACGGAAGGTTCATGAGACGCCCATACAAATGACTGAAGTTCAAGGTAGTGTTGAAGTAAACTCCTTGGAGAGTGGGGAGCCTGGCAGGTGGCAGGATCTGTGTGAACACTCGCTGAATAAGAAGTAGAGGTGTGATGTGCCGAGCTAGTTCAAAGGAGGCACCCTGTTAGGGAGGAGGGGCTGCACAGAAAGGCTTGTGCAGAGGGGCCTTGGGAAAGGCACAGTCTTGGCAAGCCGATTTTGAAACTGTAAAACAGCATGAAAGGACGGTCTCTGCACATGCACCAGAACAATAAAAGAAATAAGACGCCACCCATACTCCTGCCATTCTGACAGGGTGGGTAGAATCCTGTGTTCTGTAGCGGTGTTGGCCTAAAGTTACCGGCAAGGCTGGTAGATAGTTCAAACAAAACTGCACCTCGTTAAGTTCACCAGCCGCAAGTCACTCATTTCTATCTTTGCGTTAAAGCTGAGGCCTTTTGGGAGGAGAATGAGGAGGCCGGCCACTAGAGTCAGTGATATTTTTCTGTGTTGCCACGCTGAGGTTGCTCGGAGCAGACGCATACGTTCTGCCACTCCCCCGTGCTCTCATTTTCTGTATTTGGGTTTGTGGGATTTAAACAGATCCATTTCAGGGCAGAGGATGGAACTGAATGGGAGAATCCATTCAGTCATTTCTTCAGCAACCTACTGAGCAGGTGTTCCAGGTGCTGAGGCAAAGGGAACAGTGGGAAGGCAGCAGAAAAACCGGAAGCTTTCGACTCACCGGGGTGCACTGAGAGGCGCTGTCAGAATGGAGTTGCAAAGGCGGTACCCCGCGGCTTGGGTTCACAGGTTCACGTGGAGAAGGGCCTAGAGTGCCAGGCCAGGACAGAGTTCTTGACCCTGTGGGTGAGAGGAGAAACCCAGGAGGGATCGGGCAGGCGTGTCGGCCTGGAGGTGGCGCTGGGAGGCTATTGACAGTCTGGGCTGGAGGCAGTGAGGGCCCAGATCGGGGTGTCCATGGTGAAGCTTTGTGAAATGCTACCAGGCATCAGGCCTGGGAATGGGAGCCGTGGAAGAGACCAAGGACGCAGAGTGTGTAAGACGTAGGAACCCTCGAAGCCGAGAGGTGGAAGGGAAGAGGGAGAGGTGGAGATGGCACATATTTCAAGCTGGGGGAGCAGGAGCCTGAGGAGGGGAATGTCGTAGAGAGAACCGTCGTTGGAAGGTTGGAAGGAGCTGGCTGTGCTTGTCTGGGTGCGGTTTTCACTGGGTGTTTGTGTATGGGCAGAGGAGGATGAAGAGGGAGGTGGATGAGGTTGTGAATGTGCTGCACTTGAGACGCCATGGAGACAGCTGGCAGGATGCCTGGGACTGAGCTACGAGCTCTGTGCCAGTGTGTGTGGGTCTGGAGCTAAGGAAGAGTCGGGGCCAGAGCAGGGGGCCAGCTGGGTTCTCATACGTGGGTGAGTGAGCTTTGGGGAAGCGGGGGTGGAGGCGGAGGAGGAAGACGAGGAGGAGAGAGCAGCCCTGGTGGAGCTTGTCCATGTGTTCCTGTTGTGACCACTAATAGCTCAATCATGTCACTTCTTTTCTAACATCTTTTTTTTTTTAATTGATAAATTAAAGTTGTGTATGTTTGTGGTATACAGAATGGTTGTGTTAATATATATTTCTGTCGTGGAATAGCGAAGTTAATCTAATTAACATACCTATTACCCGACATGCCTTTTTTTGTGGTAAAAACATTGACAGTCTATTCCCTCAGCAGTTTTCAAGTACCTACATCCAGTCCATTGTCAACTGTAGTCAATACGTTGTACAGTTGACCTCCTGAATAATTCCTCCTATTTAACAGAAGTTTTGTGTCCTTTGACCAACATCCACCCTCCCTGACCCCAGCCTCTGGTTACCGTTTTGTTCTTTGCTTCTATGAATTTGACCTTTTTCTAGGTTCCACAGAACAGTGAGATCATGCTGTCTTGGTCTTTCTGTGCCCAGCTTGTATCACTTAATGTGGTGCCTTCCCGATTTGTCCATGTTGTTGTGAATAAGAGATTTCCTGCTTTTTTTATGGCTGAATAGTATTCTGATGTGTGCATGGGTACCACATTGACTTTATCTACTCATCCACTGACGGACACCTTGGGTGATTCCCCCTCTTGGCCCTTGTGAATAGTGCCTCAGTGAACACCTTCGGTCTTTCGTCATAATTTTAGCAGCCTTCAAAAAGGTGTCACTTTGGAAGAATATGCCCAGGGCTGTAAGTCCACCATGAAAAAATGGAAGGGCTTATTATTCAAGAGTGTATTATCTACTAGGGGACAGAAGAGAAGCCCCCAGGCAGCATCGTGGCATTTTAAACTCATGGGTCGTTGAAGCTGAAGCGAGGTCCCCGTGGGAAGATATCTTCTGGGTCACGTTCCCCGTGGCGGTGATTTATCAGTGCCATTCCTGGCACAGCATTTAGTGTTTCTTCAAATCACAGTGTTGGTCAGTGGAACTTAGAAAACACAGAGTTTGGAAGATAATAAGTTTGGTTCATCTGAGAGATGAGGGTTTTCTTGGAAGGTGGTGGGAAGCAGGTAAGCCTGGGTCCGAGTCTGCCCGCTTTGAGTTATGTGGGCAAGCCGTTAACTTTTTAAAAGTTTCCTCTTCTCAGATATGAAATGGAAATCATGACTAGCATTTTTATGACTATTTTAACTCTCAATTCTCATATTAAGATCATGAGGTATAGTTACTGTTGTTACTTATCCCCGTTTGCACAGAGAAGTTAAGTAATCTACCCAAGGCTACACTCCGTATCAGTGGCAGGGCTGGGATTTGAACAGTCTGCACCAGACCCCGACCCTCCCCACTGCTCTGTACTGCCTCGTTGTAGTCAGGTTAATGGGTGACATGCAGGAGGGTCCTCCTTGTGGTACTTGATATGGACTTGAGGTTCCCTAAGTTGTCGCAGATGGTTGATGTGGCCGGGCTCCGGGTTGGCCTTGACAGGCCTAAGGGGTGTGATCTTGCTGTCTGCACAGCCAGTTTGAATCTGCCCTTTTCACAATAGATGAACTGGGTTGACCTGGTCTACATTTGGGTCTGCATCCAGAATTTAACATGAGCAGGCAGACGTCTGAGACCTTGAAGTGGGTGGGGAGGGGGGGTGGTTCGAGCATTCTTGTCCTTGCATGTGATGGTGCACATACGCAGTCAGTTGTTGCTAGGGAGGCCTGCTGTGTGTCCCCTGCCTGCGAGCCAGGACACACCCCAGCGAGGTGGCCCCAGACAGCACCCTCGCCTGTGCAGGAGGAGGCATATAGCTCGGTATTTCTCCACAGCCACCGCCTCGCAGTAGGATGTATTCCCATGCCAGGCAGAGGCCAGGGGCCCTGTTGGCCTGACTTTCTACAGCCGCGTCCATCCTCACTCACAATTAAATGCTTGCAAAGATGACATTTGAGGGAATTAGGATTTTGAGTTCTTTCCATTTCCTGGCCCAGTGAATCATTCTTGGAGAAGTCATGATGTTATAAATTTCATTAGAAGTGTAAATCACAGAAGAACAGTTCCTTGACCTCAGCAGTTTATAATCTGTATGAGTCATAAATAAAAGCAATGTTAAATAAAACCGAACTGATGAAGGCGGGCAAAGGCAGGGTGGGCAAAGGGGAAGTTCTGCTCAGGCAGAATTGTCTTTCTCCCAGAGGGCAGAGTGCTACCAAATAAAAATGATTTTTTTTAAAAAAGAAACCTTCGCATTAAAGCAGCAAACATATATTGAGTGCCTACTGTACACAAGGGTGTATTTGGAGCTTGAGAATGAGACTCTCAAGCAAAGAGGAATCATGGTATGGATAACTGATATGCAAGTGTACAGCATGGGGTCACAGAGAAATTGTCACCCCTGAGGTCTTGGGACCTGGGTGACAGTGAAGAGTGAGTGGAAGTGTGCAGGCATCTGAAACAGGGCTCCACAGTGGTGTGAGAACCTTGGTGATCAGGGATTCCACAGGAGGAGGATGGGGAGAAAGAGAGGCTGCAAAGGGGTTCCAGAACCAGTTCCTGGGCAGGTGTGGAGGAGGCTTGGGGTCAACGAGGACAGAAGTGTGGAGGTGCCAAATAGATACACCAAGGCAGCAAACAGCAGAGGAAGGAGGGATTCTTTTTCTATAAGTGAAACCCAACAGGACCGTGGCAGAGTCAGGGGACAGGCCAGCAGCACTAGCTTTCCTCCCACCCTCTGTTGGAATCTGAGCAGGGAAGCGGTTGGTCACAGGGGAGCCGGGTCACAGTCAGAAGGTTGCAGGGTTGGCAGAGTTGTAGGGTGAGTTTCGTGTGACGGCAGAAAGAACATCCCGTGGGGAGTTTGAGGGTGGGGGTGTCTATTGACTGAATACAGAGCCAGCAGAAAAGTCAGGAGCGGCAAAGAGAAGTCAGGACCATGCAGGGGAATGGCACCCTGAGAGCCTGGAATTCAGGGCATGGCCGAGGATGGCAGGGGCTGAGCCATGGTGGGCCTAGAGTTCCGGAACTTGTCTGGGACAGAGTTTCCCAGTACTGCTCCGGTGGGGGCTTTGGAGGCTGTGGGCTTGCACAGCCTTCGAGAGACAGTCTTGGTCAAGTGTGGACACTGAGCTTCTTATGAGATCTTTAGGTTTTAACCTCCTGGAGAGGCAGCTGACCCCACTCCTATTGAAAGGTTAGGGTTCTGATGGAGGACGTTTGACTACCTGGTCTTGGGAGTTTTCTTGGGGAAATATAAGAGGAAGTATTTTGCAAGTTTTGTAAACATACTCTTAGAGGCACCTTCTCATCCAATCACAGACCGATAGCCAGTAGGGGACACATTCATAGCCAGTAGGGGACACGATTTAATTTTCTTATTCTGAGTACTTGTCTCATTCCTTAATGCTGATTCTTGGTATGTGGCCCTAATTTTTATGTCCCCCCCCCCCCCCCGTGGCCTCTCTCCTGTTCAGAACCAGACTATCAGGTATATCTGAACGCCTCAAAGGTCCCTGGGTTTTCAGATGAGCCCACGGAACTGGAATGCCGGGTAGTGGACTTGAAGAATGCAGAGGCCAACATCCGTTTCACAGTGTCGTGGTACTACAGAATGAACCGGCGCAGTGATGACGTGGTGACCAGCGAGCTGCTGGCGGTCATGGACGGGGACTGGACGCTACGATATGGAGAGAGAAGCAAGCAACGGGCCCAGGACGGAGAGTTTATTTTTTCTAAGGAGCACACGGACACATTCAATTTCCGGATCCAAAGGACTACAGAGGAAGACAGAGGCAATTATTACTGTGTTGTGTCTGCCTGGACTAAACAGCGGAATAACAGCTGGGTGAAGAGCAAGGACATCTTCTCCAAACCTGTCAACATATTTTGGGTATCAGAAGGTAGAGTGTTATTCTGTTTATCATTCATTTTTGTTTTGTTTCTGTTTAAGGAGTGCATTTTCAGATGTACTCAGCCTGCAGATTACACGAGGAATCTGTGCCTGTTCACTGGGGACCCATAATCACCACGTGACCCCTACACCCTCTTTGGGCTCACTGCTGCCCCATAGAGGGCCCTCTGCAACTTGCTGTCTTTAACAAAATCTCCTGCTTCCTGATCCTCAAGTCTGAGTGTTCCTTTCCCCTTCTGCCTTCTTCCACTTAGCATTACCAGCTCACTCTCTGAGGACACTGTTGCCTCTGGAGCTCTCCTACAGTGGCATTTGTTCCCACACTGCTCAGATCACTGGGCCTAGAGGTGGGGCGGGCACCTCCCTTCTCCTCCCTGCAGCTTCCAGACCATTTTCTCTCGGCCCTTAGAATATCTAGCTTTGACTCTCATGGCTGTTGCTCATTGACTCCTGGGTCTTCTGCTCCTTTGTTGGAAATGCTAGCTGCAGTTGCATAGCTGCTCTATTGCTGCTCCTATCAGGAGAACTTCACTACAAATCACCCTTGTAGCTTTAAAGAAAATGCTGAGCATGGTGCCCACCAGAAACCCTGTTTCAGCTGGTGGGAAATAAATGCAATCTGGACGCTGGAATTTGGCTTCTCATGTGTGGCCAGGTTGAGAAGCCTAACGTGGGTAATCCTCTCACCCTTAGCCCCTCGTCCTCTCTCTAGGCATCGTGTCTCCTAGCCTATTGTGGTCCTTCCCCCCTGTATGCTCCTTAGACTGGCTCACTTCTGATAACTGAAACCCCTCATAGTCTCAGTCTCAAGCATCCTGTTCTCCTAACGTGTCTTCTGTGTTTCTAGATCACTTCTGCCGGCACTCAGAAAACAGCCCTTCAACCTACAGGGACCAATGATCTGCTCCTCTTCCTTCTCTTTTCCTTCACTCCTACTGTGCCTTCACTTCCTTCTTAGCTAGGATGACCGTTGGCTTGGGGTAGCCCAAAGTCACTTTAGCACACTCTATCATCTTAGATGCGTCTGGGGTGGTAGGTGGGGATAGGTTATGTGATCACCTGTTGTTACCTGGCCTAAAGTCTCAGTCACATCACTCCCTTGTGTACATCCTGAACTCTCTCTAGGAGTTTCCCCTCTCTAGGTTTGCCTTATGTTCTAACCATACGACAGCCCAGTTCAAGGCCATCTCTCTGCTGCTTGCTGACCTATGTCTGTAGAGTTTAGTGTGGGTAGAGAAAAACATTCAAACAATGCTGACTGGCCTGCCTTTAAATCTGGGATCACTTATGTCAAGTGGGTCCTCAACACTGCCTGGGAATCATTCTGCATTTCCTAAATCTGTTTACTTCCCCACTCTCCTAAATGATTATTGCATTCCACCTTTTCTCTCTGCTCACTTCCTTCTCCACCTCTCTATCAGCTACTGGTTTTGTTTCCTCTTTCTCTTAAAAAAAAAAAAAATAAAGATTCCCCCGTGCTCTACCCTAGCACCTGAGCCTATGATATTCAGCCTCACACTCTCTTATGACTTTAATAGTTCTCTCTTCTCTGAACCTCTCTATTGGCCTGAAAACATGCTGTCAGATCTCCTTCAAGGTGGTGGGGGAGCTAAACTAATCCCGATCCCTCTTCTTCCTCCATCTTTCTGTTCCCTACAACCCTTACCTGCCTATTACTCTCTTTCTTTCTATAGCCGCGCACAGCATTGAATTTTTCTATTTGGGATGTTTCCAAATTCACTCCTCCCATTCTCTTTGGTGTCTGTTCTAATCAGGCTTTTCCCTCTATTGCACTTACAAGATTACCAGGGATCCACATATTGCAAAATCTACCTGTCAGTTATGTTGCTGAAGTTGGCAGGATTTAACACAGGTGATTGCTCCTCCAACCTCCCTGAATGCTTCCTCAGCCTTCTTTGCTGGCGTCTGTTCCTTTTTCTAATCCCCAAACATTATGCAACTTCAGGACACTGTCCTCAGACTTTTATTTAATGTGCCCCCTTGATAGTCTGTTTTCATCTCATGAATTCTAATACTTAGACACCAGTGACTTCCAGTTTTACATTCCTACTCCGGAGATCTTTCCAGAACTCCAGATTCAATTTTTTTTTAAATCTTTTTTTTTTTTTTTGTAGTTGTAGATGGACAGAATGCCTTTATTTTATTTGTTTATTTTTATGTGGTGCTGAGGATCGAACCCAGTGCCTCACACATGCTAGGCAAGTGCTCTACCACTGAGCCACAACCCCAGCTCCTCCAGATCCAGTATTATGTTGCCTTCTGTCCACCTCTAGTTATCTAATGGGTATCTCAAACCTCTGTTCAAAGCAGAGATCCAGTCTCTGCTGACCCTTTTCTCTCAGCCTTCCCCAGCCTGTTCGAGCTAGCTAGCACCATTGTTCTAATTGTTTCATCCAAAACCTTCATCCTTCACTCCTCATTTTTTTTTTTTGGTGGGGGGTGGTTCTGGGTATTGAACCAAGGGCCTTGTGCATGTTGGGCAAGTGCTCTACTGCTGACTGCACCCCCAAACTCCAACTCTTCATTCTCAAAATCGTCTTAGGATCTAACCACTTCACTTGTACCCGGGAGTCGTCCTCTCTTGCTGTGTTCTGTCACCAGCTCCCTAACTGGTCTCCTCACTCCGCCCTTACCCACGCCCTTAAGATGCAAGTCAGACCATGAAGCTCTTGGACTCTACACCATCACAGGCTCCCGATTGCAGGGCAAAACCCCGAATCCTTTCACTGGCCTTTGGTGCCATGTGCTGTTGCCATTGGCCTCATGTAACTCCCCCATGCCCACAGCACGCCAGCCCTCTGCCCTCCTGCGGCTCCCCACAGGGCCAGCCAGGCTCCCGCCGTATAGCTTCCCACGTGCTCTTCCTCTGCACAGAAAGCTTTTCCTCAGGTGGGTACGAGGCTCGGTCCCTTACCTCCTTCAGGTCCTTATTTCAAATGTTACCTTTTCTCTGCATGTGCTGGCTGACACACACAACCCACATGCAAAAAAAAAAAAAAAAAATACCCTCTTCTCTGTTTTGCTTCTTAAATTATCACCCTCTAACTGTACCATGTATTTCATTTATTCATTTTGTTTGTCTCCTTCCTCCAGTGTAGAGGGAAGGATTTCTGTATGTTTATGCACTGTTGTCTTCCCAGGGCCTGGAATGTGGGAGACTGAATGAGCAAACAGACAGGACAATCAAGAAAGAGTGTGGGCTGGCGTTGTAGCTCAGTGGTAAAGCACTTGCCTGGCGTGTGTGAAGCACTGGGTTCGATCCTCAGCATCACATAAGAACAAATAAATAAAAATAAAGGTATTAAGAAAGAGTGTGGGTGATCCAACAGGATCTCAGAAATTAGTGATTCTGGAGAGACAATGTAACATTCATATTCTGCTAATAGGTTTTGAGGAACAAGTATTCCAAAGAACCCAACCTAAAACTCTAAGAACCAGACAGATTATAAGATTAATAATTGTGTTAAAGGATAAAAAGAATGGGTCTAATTCATTTATTCACCCATTCAGCAAATATTTAAGTACCTTCCAAGTGCCTGATGCTGTGCCATTATAATAGATGAATTCTAATGTGTATATGCGTAGGGATTATTGTTTTGACACAGAAGCAGAGAGAACACACTTAAACCTAACATTAGTGTAGCCATAGACACTGGCTCAGACTGTTAAAGTAGCACCTCTGAAATTAAAGTGTAAACCAGGTGGAAGTGATTAGATCTACAAGTGCGTATGCTCCTGTCATTTAGTAATCTATCTGGTCTGTAGCGTTAGCATTATAGGGATAAACAGGGAGAAGCCATTTTTCCCTGCTGTCCTCCTCCACACAGGCTAGCTCAGCTAGGGGGCGCTTCTCTGTGCTCAGCAGATGCTCAGGGGAGGAGAAGTGAATGGTGTAGCCAGGAGTCTGGCCAGGATTTCTAGTCCTCCCCAGCTCACTAAGAGTGAATTCCATTGTGCATCTTTGGGTCACTTTAGCTCCCTGGCTTTTCTCTCTTGGTGAACACCTTAAGGACTTGAAGTTCCTCCAAACCAAATTCTCACCATCCATTACCTGTACAGTTCCACCCATTCAGTCATTTCAAACTGCTGCTTCCACTGTGCTGGTTTTCAGCCGGGTCACGGTTACACTTGGTTTTCTTTCTGAGTTTTCCAATTTTCATAAGTGCCTTTGTGTGGCAGTTTGCAAATAAATTCCCATTTCCTTGATGTTTTGCTTTTAGATGCATATCCATTTTAACTGATCCTGTTGGAAATCACCTTCTGGTGCTTCATTCCAGATTCCGTGCTCGTGGTGAAGGCGAGGCAGCCAAAACCCTTCTTTGCTGCCGGGAATACGTTTGAGATGACTTGCAAGGTGTCGGCCAAGAATATTAAGTCTCCACGCTATTCTGTACTCATCACAGCCGAGAAGCCTGTTGGGGACCTCTCCAGTCCCAACGAAACCAAGTACATCATCTCCCTGGACCAGGATTCTGTAGTGAAGCTGGAGAATTGGACAGATGCATCGCGGGTGGATGGAGTTGTGTTAGAGAAAGTGCAAGAGGATGAATTTCGATATCGAATGTACCAAACTCAGGTCTCAGATGCAGGACTGTACCGCTGCATGGTGACAGCCTGGTCTCCTGTTGGGGGCAGCCTATGGCGAGAAGCAGCAACCAGTCTCTCCAATCCTATTGAGATAGACTTCCAAACCTCAGGTGAGCAGGGAATTCTGTGGAATCAAAGATTGAACTAGAAGAGGATTTTTATCAAATGTCCTTTTTTTAAAAACAAAACAAAAAAAACCCAGCTTTATTGAAATAGAATTCAATAAATTTACCAATTTAAAGTTCATAACTCAGTGGCCTTTCATGTGTTCACAGGATTGTATAGCCATCACCACAATCAATTTTAAAATGTTTTCATGACATTCAAAAGAAACCCTGACCCTTAACCAATATCCTCCAATTCTGCCTCTCTTTTCCCATGTCACGTTCTCTAGTAACCAATAATCTACTTTCTGTCTCTATAGATTTCCCTATTCTGGACATCTCAAATAGTGGAATATATTATGTGACCTTCATGTCTCTGAGCATTTTTCTAGGATCATATATATTGTTGCATGTATCAGTACTTTTTTTTTTTATATACTAGGACACTTTTCCACAGAGCTATATCCCCAGCCCTTTTATCTTTTTTTACTTTGAGACAGAGTTTTGCTAAGTTGCTTAGGGCCTTACTAAGTGGCTGTGGCTAGCCTCAAACTTACAATCCTCCTGTCTCAGTCTCCCGAGCCACTGGGATTACAGGTGTGCACCACTGTGCCCAGCTCAGTACTTACTTCATTTTTCTGACTGAATATTGCATTGTATGGACATGTCACCTTTGTTTATCCTTTCATCACCTGATGGATGACATTTGGCTGTTTCCAGTTCCTGATTATTATAAGCAATGCTGCTATAAATATTCACATTTTTTTGCAAATGTGAGTTTTTATTTCTGTTCTCATTAAAAAACAAAAACAAAACAAACAAACAAATAATAATAATAATAATAAACCTAGCTACTTGATATTCTTTAGGAAACATGGTGGGGAATAAAAGAAGAGGAGGGGACTAAGCCTGTAGGGATGTTAAGTGACATGCTGAAAGTGGAAGATCCAGATCCAGGACCCCAGTCTTCACCAGTTGCATGGCATTTTGTGCTTAGGGCCCTCTTGGAATGAAGGTTGTGACTTCTTTTCTCAGTCCAACTAATCAGAGCAGTGTTTCCATATGATTCTGCATCTTATTCCTCACCTGGCTTTTGGATTGGAGAAAAGATTTCCTACAATTAGTCAAGTTATCAGAGCTGCTGTGGTCTGGTCAAATGTATCTGCCCAACTCGTTTTGTTAAGAACAATTGTTAATTGTATTTATCTGTGGGAAAGTTAATTCAGACAAGAACATTTTCACATCTGTTCTGAAGTGATTTTGTCTTTGGTAACTGGAATACTGTTATGCAGTAAGGTAGAAGGATCCTCTTTTGTTGATAGCATAGATATAGGTGCCCATTCTAAAAGGGAGATTTTTCTTTCCCATCTAAGTAATTCATGAAGATCCTCTGACAGATCTCTGTGTGTGTTTCAGCAGGAAGGTGATTTAAAAGTTTTAAATCCCAGTTTTATTTAGAGTATCAATGTGAAGGATTATCATTTGTGAGTTTTAGACTGAACATTTTTATTAACTCTGCTCTGGGTTCCAGTTAGAAATTTCTGTCTGTGTAAATTCATGTTCATCTATAAAAATTCAGGCATTTAAGTGAATCACCATAACAAATCCAAGATGTTTGTTGAATTAAATTATTTGTATTTACTTTACAGGTAAGCTATACTCCCATAAAGCATGTTATCTATATTGTATTATTTTAACCTTTTATGGTGTTAGAGAAATAATCTTCTAGCATCTCTTAACTTTTAAATTAATAAAACATAAATATTGATTTAAACTCTGAGATTTGTAAGGAATAGCTAAGACACAAGCCTCTCTTATTGTGTATTTGCTTGTTTGTTTACAATACCCACGTTATAAGATGAAATTCACATACTGTAAAAGTCACCCATTTAAAGTATACAGTCCAATAGTTTTTAATATATTTAGTGTTGTATAACCTCTCTAATTTCAGAAAGTTTTCATCACTCCAAAGGAAACCCCGTTCCCATTAGTAATCTGGCCCAACCCCCATACTCCCTTTCACTTGGAAACCCCTGATCTACTTTCTGTCTGTATAGATTGGCTTCTTGTGGATATTTCCTCTGAGTCAAATCATTTAGATTGTTTTGACTTCTTAGCTACTCTGAATAAGGCTGCCATCAACATTATTATTTGAAAGTAATGCCTCCCGATCTGGAGGTTGTCATTATTTTCTTATTGGTGTCCCTTGAAACACTGAAGCTTTCAATGTTGATGAAGTCCAGTGTATCTGTATTTTTGTTGTTGTTGCTTGTGTTTTTTGGTGTCAGATCTAAGAAACCGTTGCCTAATTTAAGATCATGAAGACATATGCATGTTTCCTTCTAAGAATTTTTTTAGTTTTAGCTCTCACATTTACAGCTGTAATCTGTTGTGAGTTAATTTTTGTATGTGGTGTGAGGAATGGGTTCATCTTATTCTTTTGCATGGAGATATCCACTCATCCTACCACCATTTATTGGAGAATCTATATTTTTTCCTTTGTCAAAAATCATTTAATAAAAAACATAAGTGTATATTTCTAGACTTTCACTTCTGTTCCAGTGATCTTGTATTTCTGTCCTTAAACCAGTGTCATCTTATTTGATTATTGTAGCTTCGTAGTTAGTTTTGCAATCAAGAAATGTGAGTGTTCCAGCTGTTATTTTTCAAAATTGTTTTGGCTACTCGGAATCCTTTGCATTTCCCTGTGACTTTTAGGATCAATCTATTAATTTCTATAAAAATATGGATTGTGTAGAACAATTAGGAGAGCAGTGCCATTTAATAATATTGCCTTCCAATTCATTAATATGAAATGTCTTTCCATTTAGTTAGGTCGTCTTTAATTTCTTTTGCTGGTATTTTGTTTTCAGTGAACAAATCTTGAACTTCTTTTGTTAAATTCATCCTAATTTTGTAATTTGTTTTTTAAGCTTTTGGAAATAGAACCACTTTCTTAATTTACTTTTCAGTTTGGACATTGCAATTATAAGATATACAACTGATTTTTGTGCATTGATCAAGTATCCTGCAACCTTGCTCAACTTGTTAATTAGTTCCAATAGTTTTTTATTCCTTACAATTAATTTTTTCTTTACAATTTTTAAAATAGGAGATCATGTTATTTGAGAATATGATTTTACATCTTCCTTTCTGAGGTGAATACCTTCTATTTCTTTTTTGCTTGATTTCCTTGGCTAGAGTCTTCAGTACCGTTTTGAATGGAAATAGCTCAAATGGACATCCTCATCTTGCTCCTAATCCTAGGGGAAAAGCATTCAGTGTTTCACCATTAGGCATCATGTTATATCTGGGTTGTGGGGGTGCTTTTGGCAGGGGAGGGTACTTGGGATTGAATTTAGGGGCACTTGACCACTGAGCCACATTCCCAACCCTATTTTGTATTTTATTTAGAGATAGGATCTCACTGAGTTGCTTAGTGCCTCACCGTTGCTGAGGCTGGCTTTGAACTCACGATCCTCCTGCCTCAGTCTCCCAAGCCACCAGGATTATAAGCGTGTGCCACCACACCCAATTAAATCTGGGTTTTTCATAGATGCCCATTATCAGGTTGAGAAAGTTTTCTTCCATTTCAATTTTTTGAGTGTTTTTTTATCATGAAAAGGGTATTGGGTATTGTCAAGTGCTTTTTCTGTGTCTGTTGAGATGGTCGTGTTGTGTTTGTCCTCTATTTGTATATGTTTTGTTATCTGTAGGAGTCAATTCCATCATGTTTGACATTTGTTATTTGATCTTTCTTGTAAACTCTTCTGTGGAAGAGGGAAGACATAACATCTTCTGTATGTATTTCTGGGTGAGGAATGGATATTGAATCTATTTCTTGGTTTTTAAAAACTAAATATAACAGATAAATTCACTGTGCTTCCAGGTTGAATAGACTGCCTGAGGTTTCTATTTTTAATCTGTGGAGTTGTCATAGCCAGTTCACATTTTAATTAGAAGAAGCTGCCATCAAATTCAGTACCCAGCACAACAATGTAGCCCTAAGTAGCCCCCAGCAAACATTGATTTGAAACCGGAGCCTTTGCTTCCTAAAAATCTGCAGTGCTCCCTAAGACCCACAACAAAGAGTCCTTCCAGTGCCCATCTTCCTGGCCCGCTGGCAGGGCCCTGGCCTCTTTATGATTGAGACCTGTTTCTCAAGGGGCCTACTAAGTCATGACTTTTGCTGACTCAAGTGTCAAGGGAGAAATAAGATTTAAATGTGATGCTTTAGGCATTGGCCTTTGAAAAGAATATTAGTGAATTTTTTTTTCTCTTTCACATGGAAAATTTGAAAATAGAGTAAAAGAACAGAAAGAAGGAATCCTGTCCTGCTACCAGAAACTAATTTGTGTTGTTTATCCTCCTAGAATTTTTCCCTTGTGTGTTTTCTTTACGACTTTGAGATCAGGCTGCGTATATAATTTTATGACCGGCTTTCTTTCCCCTTTAATGTTAGAAGATAAGCATTTTTCCCGTTGCAATAAATTCTAGGTAAACACTAACTTTAATGAGTATATACAGTAGGATTTGCTTAACCGTGACCCTTTTGACAGACATGCGGATGATGGGCAATTTTTTGCTTTCACAAAAACATTGCCATTAAGCCTTTTTCTGGGGCTGGGGGTTAGAATATGGTTTGCATGAATGTTTGTATTTAAAAAAGCTAAGTGGTTTCCGTACTCTCTGCAGACCAGGAATCAGGGGACCCCTAGTGACTCTGGTTGTTCACTTAAATTCTCTGTGCCAGTCTGTCATCTGTGAAGTTGACCAGACAAATCCCCTCACAAAAACAGCATTACCACAGAAATTGACCATAATGAAAATATTTCTAAGCCTGGGATAATGACCCATATTAACAGTGAGCTGTTGATTTCGTTAGAAGGAAATCGACTCCTGTGCCTCCTTCACCACAATGAAGGCCTTCTTCCCCATCCTTGTCTGCATTGTGAGCCGCGGCACAAACCGGCTCTTGATTCCCACAGCCACGTCCAATGGGGAAAATGAGAACTGTAACTTGTGACCTAGAAGACATTTGGGGTTTTCTTTGGAAATATAAAGAAAAAGTGACATTTGTCCAAACTCGATGAGTCTTTTTTTTGATATTTCAAATTAAATAGAAACATAAATCTATTATGGGTATTTCTTAGCATTTTTTTTTATTGTGTGTTCTCTTAAAAGGGGCCCGAATACTTTCAAGAAAGCCCCTGATTGCAGTCCCATTTGTTACTGTGAAATTCTTATCTGAGAGAACAATGTAAGAGCTGTTGTTCACCATGGCCACGACTACCCTGCACTCGCAGATGGCCACCTGTGGCATAGAGCACCCCAGTCATCACCACAGACCTAGCTCAGTGCGGTCAGCCCAGTCCTGCCCCTCCTCACTGCAGGGGCTGAGAGCTGAGCAACGGAGGAGTTGATGTCCAGAAGAGGACCGAGTCCTTGTCCTCTGGCTTTCATCCTTCCCCCCCTCTGCTGGGCCGTCGTGTTCCCTGTCCCGGCTGCTCTCTGGCTAATCGGAACTCAGTGGTTCCCATCCACGGCTGCCTAAACCCCGCTAGTGTTCCATATTTTATAACCATCCTTTACCTTTCTCCCAGGAAAACACAAACTATTTATGTAACTTAGTGTTAGGAAAGGAGTCTAATGAATTTGTCTTAGTAGTTATCAAGTTGAAATGAAAATATAATATGGCAATTAATTGCCTCATTAGATGGTATGAACTTTTGCACGTGCACACTCACACACACTCTCTCTCTCCCTCTCTCTCACACACACACACACTCCTTTTCTCCCCATGGTCATTTCTTCTGGATGTTTTGTTGTTGATGTTGTTTTAATATACTTTCGGGTATTCTTTCCTTTCTGCTAATCTGAACAAGAAAATAGTAACATCTGTGTTCTTTTAACGAGTTTTGGAATCCACATCTAGGGCCATCTATCATTATTTCCCAGGAACTCTCAGAGGAATTCCATAGCACTGATGTTCTGGAACCTTCTTTCAAGTCTGCCTGTTCCTGGGTTTTAGGAGCTGTGATGATAAGGTTAACATTGACTTCTTGGGATCAGCTTGGCTTAAAATTGTGAAATGCTGTCACCTAAGAGGGATTCTTAGATAGGTTAAAAGTAATCATCATATTATAGTGTTCTCAGGGAGGTATGGGAGACAAATCCTGCCCGAGTCCAGGGCTTTCTGTTTATTTGTTTCTTACTAGACTTTGTTTTTTAGAGCAGCATTTGGTTCACAGCAAACTTGAGCAGAAAGAAGAGTCCCCATGTGCACCCTGCCTTCCTGACTTGGATAGTCTTTTGAAGGACTATCCAGGCTGCCTCAATTTCCCCTGGCAGCCCGGAGCCCTACTTCAGCACTTTACAGAAACATCATTGTTGGCATGTCTGAATCCTTACTGGATTTCAGCTTTTTAACAGCAGGGCCCCCTGTCCCCAGCACCCAGCACAATGCAGTGAGGTCTCTCATACTATTAGGACCAAAAAGCATCTGTGGTTCAGTCCCTGTCCCTCTGCTCTCCAAACTACCCTGGCCTAGAGTGAATCACCATGAACCAGAAATAACCCAATCTGTACCAGGTGGGGATGACCTTCAAATGAGATTTTATCAGAAAACAGGTAAAGGGAAAAGCCAGAAGCAAAAGTAGCTCTTTAGAAAGAGTTGTATTTTGGCTTCATCTTAAGACAGGATTCATTTGGACATGCCTAATGCACACGTTGCTTTGTATAGAAGAAAGGCACTCTTAGAACACTTTTTTTTTTTGTGAGTTTTCAAACCAGTTCCCAGGAAAGGGAACCAATTTAGATGCCACCAAGAATGGAATTTGAAAAAGTATGAAAGAAAATAATAGGGCTGACCTTACTTTCTTGCAGGTCCCATATTTAATGCCTCAGTGCATTCGGACACTCCATCAGTCATCCGGGGAGATCTGATCAAATTATTCTGCATCATCACTGTTGAAGGAGCAGTGCTGGATCCAGGTACCTCCCACCAACCTATCCCCTTTCCCTTTCCCAGGTTGCCTTTTGAAAATTATTTTTCATATCAATCCCCACTGTGTTATGCAGATGTCGGGGGAGGGCTGGGGATTAGATTGACTATTTATCCCCACTGCCTGCTTGGTACTGGTTTGGTTGATTGGATGCCTGTGTCTGTTGGGTGATTTGGAAACATGTTCAGACATCTGAACCTGAGTTGTGAGGGCAGGCAGTGGGTCCCCTCCAGGCTTGGTTAGACTGCTGTGAAACATACTTGCAGAGTTTATTCTTTCTCTGTTTTTTTTTTTTCATTCATTTATTCATTTACATATTACTGAGCTCCTTCAATACATAAGTGATGCTGGAGATGTTAAGAATAGAGGAATATACAAAATATTCAAAGTCTTTCTCCTTGGAACTTGCAACCTTGTTAAGGACAGAGGCAAAATGAGAGCCATTAATGCTATGAAGAAATACAAAAGAATAAGAGAATAGTAGCAAGTGACCAGGCAGTGCTATTATAGAATTTTTAGGAAATTTTTATAATACTTTTCTGCACAGAAAATATTAGCATTGCCAACAGGATGCTTAACAGCTGTGGGACCCATTCATTTCACACCTTTTATCCTTGGCCCCACTCTTGCATCTGGATCCTTAGGGCCTGAAAGAACCTTAAATGCAGGGTATCTCTGTTGCTGAGCATGGTTGTACCTACCTCTGCCTTTTCCCAAAGACTTCGTGAAGAAGCATCTTACTAAGGGCTGCCCTTATCTCCTCTACCCACTTTGACCCTGGACATCAATTGTCGTTCCCCCTCCTATCACAAGCAGAGCCCTGGTTTGGGGCAGATTTGCACCTTGAGAAGTCCAAATTATGCAGGGTGCTCACATTTCTGTGTGGAGACAGCTGGAAATGTGGTTCTGGGGGGAACAAGAATCAGGTTTCTTTCTGTATGAAGGGGCTATGCTAATAATGCAAAGGGAGTGAAGCCAGAGTGGGCACCCTGGGCTGGGCACCGGGCCCTTCTGGCATCTGGGAGCAGAGGTTTGGGTGGCCGCCACCATCCAGGTGGATGTCTGGCTCCTGCAGGACCTCCAGTTGAAGGTTCAGGTGGTAACTAGTTCGGGATTTTCTGTAAATGACCCAGTAAGAAGTATTTTTGGCTCTGTGGGCCAGATGGTCTCTGCAGCAGCTCCTCAACTCTGCCGCCATAGCAGGAAGGCGGCTGTAGATGAGAATGTAAACAAATGGGCATGGCTGTGTTCCAGTGGAACTGTATTTAAAAACAGGTGTGGACTGGATTTGACCTGAAGGCTGTAGTTTACTGATTGATGTCAACACTGGCTCTCTTAGGAAAGCTGAATATGGATGAGCTTTAGAGGTAGGAAAAAGATGTCTGTGGGTACTGTGAGATTACATTTGTGAGAAAAGGAAACCAATGGATTTGGTTAGTTCTTTTCATGGGGGTAAGAAAGGAGGGGCCTAGGCCTTAAATGAGTAGGCTCGACTTTGCTGAGATGCCATTTTTACCCTTAAAGCTCATGTATAATACACACACACAAAAAAATTTTTTTAAATGTTCTTTGTTGGTAAATGAAAAGGGTCACCAGTTGTAGATTTAATATAAAAATCTTTTCCTCCAGTGTAATTGCAAAAGCTATATGTATCTGATATCTCGCAGGTCACAATTTTTCAGAACTTTGCACTCTTGGACTATGTAGGTGGAGGATTCTGAATAATTAAACGCAAGTTGTAATTTAGTATTTTTTCATGCATCCTATGGCTTGCAAGGGAATTCCTGTTGGGAAAGGACGGTTGCATAAGTGGGCTGAGAGCCAAGGCACTCCTGTGCCAAGGTGGGGAGGGGGCAGCAGAGCACAGCCCTTCTGGAACGGTGTCTCAGCTCAGGCCCTCCCAGAAGCAAAGCTGAGATAGGCATGCAGTGATTCATTGAGGGAGCACTCTCGGGAGAATACTGCCAGAAGGGAGGGGATCCAGGTAGAATAAATAGGGAAGAAGGCAGTGGAGATGTGAATTCAGAACAAGTCTACCCCCACCGGTGCTCTTGTGAGGGACCAGATTATTGCCACCTGGAGCCAAGGGACTGGACTTTTATAATCCTGCAGTGGTCAGCTGTTGTCTGGTACAAGTGCTCAGCATCTAACACCTATGGAAGCAGGAGCTCAGGGCACCAGCAGCATCTGTACAGATCACATGGCTAGTGAGTGCAGGTGCCCAGATTCTAGCCCAGGTAGCCCACCCTGCAAAGTGCAGTGAGCAATCAGGAGCTAGAGTCTGGGCACAAGCAACGGGAACACGGCTGTGTCTTCTGCTGCTGCTGGTATCCACCCAGCACATGGAGGTGACAGCGGCATTGGTTAAAGTTTCCACTGAGTTGTGAGTCTGACTCGGTTGCTTGTTGGGCCCCTGACGCTGTGAAGGTAGGAGGCAGCTCATGGTACCCACTCGACCCCTGCAGAACTGGTCTTGTTGAATAGAGACAACTTCACACTCTGGGAACAAAACCTTATCATCAAGTACTACAGTGGCTCCTTGGGGACAAAAAAGGAGATACTGTGTTTTCAGAGGGAATCAGAAAGGAATTATCATTTGGATGATTATGTAGAAATTCTGGCTTTTAGTTTGATTTACAGTCTTTTTAAATGTGTAATCATCTGAACATCACTTATTTGCTTTATACTATACTTTTCAAAGTTATTAGTGTACTTTTACTAAATGAATGAATGTTACATTTTGTTCAGCAAAAACTACCCTCTTTAACATTTTATATAAACGTCTTGTCAAGTGGATTTAAGATGGAATGATGTTTGTGGCTTATGGTCCTTACTTGGCTGCTGGATGACCTCAGAACTCACCCAACTGATATTAGTTGATTTCAGTCAAGAGGAAGAGGTCAGGGGTTTTAGGACATGTGCTTGGTTTTCACATTCTCTGACAATTACCACTGTGCCAATGTCTTCTTTCTCTTATGCCTGTATTAATTTATTGGAGGCTGTTAGAGCCTTAATTTTGCAGAGTACTCTACAATCCAGCAGCATTACTCCCTGGGACTGCTAAACTGTGTTCAATTTTCTCAGCTTGACATCTTTTTCCTCTTGTTTTGAACTTAAGTACTTCTACAAAGAGGAAGAAGGAAAAAAAAAAAAAAAAAACACAGTGAACAATAAAATCTAAACAGTTTACAACTCTAAATTTTGTGCCGTTCATTTTGTGTACATTTTGTTCTTTATGACTTTAGTGTCTTCTCACTCTTGTATTCTTCTGCCTGAAGTGCCAAAGGACCCTGCTTTCTTTAAGAGACAGAGCGTGATGTCACTGCATACCAGCTTTACATCCTTTACTGTCTCTGGGAAGCACTTTGACTCATCTTCCCGGGATTCCTTGGGATTCCTTAGGCTGGGTGGCAGCAGCAGGATGGGTAAGAGGCTGGACCCTGGGGCTGGATTCCCTGGGTTGAGCTGCACATGCTGCTCCCTCTGGCTGTGTGACCTTGAACAAGGTGGTCTCTGTATAGAGGGCAAATACAGTGGTACCTTTATCACAGGGCTGCTATGAGGCTGTGTGGAGCCGAGCAGGCCTGTGATAAGCGTCATATACGTGGGGGCTACTTGCATTAGTTCTGCTCACTGCGCTGATCCCAGGGTTTTGGCTTGATGATCCACAGATGACATGGCCTTTGATGTGTCCTGGTTTGCTGTACACTCCTTTGGCTTGGACAAGGCTCCTGTCCTCCTGTCCTCCCTGGATCGGAAGGGGATTGTGACCACCGCCCGAAGGGACTGGAAGAGTGACCTCAGCCTGGAGCGCGTGAGTGTGCTGGAATTCTTACTGCAAGTACATGGCTCTGAGGACCAGGACTTTGGCAACTACTATTGTTCCGTGACTCCGTGGGTGAAGTCACCAACAGGTTCCTGGCAGAGAGAGGCAGAGATCCACTCCAAGCCCATCTTTATAACTGTGAAGATGGATGGTAAGAGTGACACACAGACCTTTCTCTCTGTGTTTGGGGAATGTCCTCTCTCTGTTCCATGCCACAGCTGACAGAATCCAGGCTTCCAGGGTTTGACGACTGTGCCATAACGTGTCCAGCCTGCTTTCTCTCTAGGCCTGGCCTGGGCCTACAGCCAGAAAGCACAGGCAGCCCTTGCCAGTTCCCAGCTTCGCTGCCCCTTGCTGGTGGCACCAGCACGAAATGGTTTTCAAGATTCATTGGAAAGATTTTCAAGGCTTTGCCATAAATTCTGTGGAAACTACTAGGCCCTGAGGTTGGCGTGGATTCTGCGGGGCAGCAGCAGAGGGCGGCATTGAGAGGGAGGGTCCCGGTCTCCAGGTGAAGCTGTAGCTGGGGTGCCCGTGCTGCCCTACTTGCCCTCCCATTGCTGTGCTTCTTGGAAAAGGGAAGCCCCCCCTCGTATCATAGGCACACGGTGACTTCACAGAGCCCCGAGGTAGGAGGGCGATTCCCAGCCTCCCCACCCCAGAGTCAACCTACTCCACGGTCAGACCTCCATCCCCCGAGCATGCCAGGGCAGTTGTTCCCAAGAAGTATGTTTCCCCTGCAAAAAGCTTCCGAAAGTAAATGTCAAAAGGAGTAACACTGTGGAGAGAGTTAAAGTTTGAGTGCCTCCACGGACCAGGAGAAGCCTTGGGAGTGTCTCCCTAGTGAGATTTCTGTTTGGGGAGATGGACCTGGGAACTCCAGCTCTTCCAAAATCATTAGCCTTCCTGATCCTTTTCCTCTCTTGTAATCTCTCATGAGGCTCTTGTGAAAACCAAACCACACCAAAGGTAAGGCACTTCGTCCAGTAGTGGTATCCATTCACGGCATCTAGCAAGGAGGAGAGTTGGGGCTTCCGGGGTGCTATCTCAGCAGTGCATATCTAAAATCTCAGCTTGTGCATATCTAAAACTTCTGTCATCTATACCATATTTGCATCGTAGATATTCCTCGTTTGAAGTAACTCCACATGAAAAACCCAGATTTACCAAACAAGGAGGGGAGTGATTATTCACTTTGCTAGATAATTTACTATAGTGTTACTTAAAATAGCTCCCTTAGTACACTTCAGTTATTTGATGCATGGAATTGATTTATGCACAGTTTTTTTTTTTTAAGGACGCATCTGCTGCTGAACGTGCGTTGCCCTTATACTGACTTTTAAAAATCAATCTCCTGCCAAAACCCCAAAAAGCCAGCTGACATTCAGAAGCATTGAATGGAATCTTTTTTTTTTTTTTCCTATAACACAATCCCCTCCCCCAGAACTGGGTGTGGGGAGATATTTGTGCATTTTTTCCAACTAACGTGGTTGAGCTGCTCCCGTGTGAGCACCGTGCTGGGTGCTGGATTTATGACATCTGATCCCTCAGGGAAAGCCCGCTGAGTGGGGCAGACAGGGCGGCAGTAGTCCCCAGGGGCCTCCCTGGCAGCACTAACGGCTTCCCCTTTTGATCTCTCCCTGCCAGTGCTGAATGCCTTCAAGTATCCTCTGCTGATCGGCGTGGGTCTGTCCACGGTCATCGGGCTCCTGTCCTGCCTCATCGGGTACTGCAGCTCCCACTGGTGCTGCAAGAAGGAGGTGCAGGAGACGCGGCGGGAGCGCCGCCGGCTCATGTCGATGGAGATGGACTAGACAGCCGGACTGGGAGTGACAGAGGGACAGTGGGGGTGAGAAGAGGACAGTGAGATTTTAAAACCAAGTGTGTTACACTAAGACCAGTCCTCTCTAATCTCAGGTGGGACTTGGCGCTCGCTCTCTCTCCTGCATGTCAAGTTCTGAGCGCGGACCTGTCTACCAGCACACGGCTCTCCTTCCCACGGCACTTTCTGATATATAACAATTGAGTGTGTGTTTTCCCAACTGCAGTTTTTTAACGGTTAACCTTTGTCTAATTTTTTTTCTCCTACTGGCTTATCGATCCTCCGACTTGTGTGTGTCGATCGCTTTTGTGGCGAGGGGCTGCGGTGAGGAAGGGGTGATGGCATTCAGAGTTCTTTACCTTGGGCGAGAATGTGCCTGCCACCTGGGCGCCCGGGTCCTCGGTGGGGGCTCCCATGAGGACAGCTGCTGTGACCCTCGACCCCAGCCTAGAGATGCCACAGGCCTGTGCCCACAGCTGATCTGTGGCTTTTCCTACTCTAACCCATGCCCCATTTTCCAGGGCGTAGACTACATTTGAAATCTAAACTTGGAGTATGTCACTTCTCTTTGAGCCCAAGTGCATTTTTTTTCTTTTTGTCCTTCTCTGCCCCTCTTCCATTTCTTTTGTATTTGCTTTCTGTGAGCGTGCTGAAATGGCAGCCCTGGAATCTGAATTTGGCTTTCCACCGAGCACCTTATCTTGCCACCTTAGCCTTAAGAATGAATATGAAGAAAAAATACACAGCCACCTCTGTCCAGGGCAGTCAGAAAGTCTGCGAGGAAGAGAAGGTTGGGGACAAGGAGAGGGACAGACGCTTTTGCCAATAGTTGTGAGGCCTCTGTGCCTCCAGGGATCCTAGGAAGTTCGATTCACACGGCCCGAGCCAGGAGGGCCAGGGCGCCAGGGCTGTGCTGGGCCGTGGAAGCCCCTCCATCCCCCGCTTCTGCCCTTCCTGAGAGGCAAAGGCGTGGGCCACCAGGGGGCCTACAGGGACCCACAGACATGCCATGTCCTTCACACCCCACTTGGGCTCCTTCACATGAAGGCAAATTGCTGCTTGAAGACTGACTGACTGCAAGGAATCTGAAATTGCCCAGAGGAGCCGTGCGCTTTCAATGACCTTTACAGTCCTTCAGGACTTTTTAAGATCCCCTGCAGGGGGTCAGTGAGAAAGGGTATACTTTGTGGTATGTTTGCTTTCCTATTAGGAACACGGAGGAAACCCGGCAATTTACTGTCATGTGAACAGCCTGTAAAGTAGGATTGAGAGCAGTCGCTTTGCCTGACTGCTTCCATCAGGGGTAGGACAGCCGACAGAAAGAGATCTTCCGGGTCCCTGACTTCTTCATTAATAGTGCACCCCTCTGAGCCTTGGCTCCCTGAAGTGTCTGGCCCCCTGCACGGCACTGGCCTTCCAGAAGCTTCCAGTGGGGTTTTCTGAGGCTCACTGGTGACTCATGCCCTAATTGCAATCCTCTGTGCTTTTATCCTGGCTCTGAAGGCTCTAACACTGCTCTGTCTTCCAAAGGGGGAAAGAAAAAAAAAAAAAGATTCGTTTGTTTTGAGCAATAAAGTAATACAAAATGATGGCCATTCATGTGCAGCTCTTTGTCACTGTGGGCCGGGTGACTGAGCTCCTCCCAGCTCACCAGCTCTCCTTCCCCTCTCTTTTGCTCTTGATTGGTTCTGAAGTGCTTGCTTATCACCAAGTTGCCCCTGGAAGCAGATTGCCACCCAGTTTTTGCTTTTTGTTCTGTGCACCACGTGGACCGCCCCTATGACACACGCTGTAGGTCATGTCATGGTTGCAGCACGGCCGTCCCAGGCCTGGACCCCATGGTGGGAAGACTGGGAGCAGGTACGCCCCACCCAAATGGGAGAGAGAGAGAGGAAGAAGAAGAAGCCTTGATGGCTCTAGATTCGGGTATTTTCTCAATGTCATTTCCCAACTGTGCTATTTCAGAGAAGGAGGGACACGGGTGATTGTACAAGCAGGAATTAAGGGAGAACAACGATAAATTGGTGCTGTAGTAGTAACAGCTAGTGCCCCAGGGCCCTTGCAGTTACCATAGGAAGATTCATTGTTGCAGCGACGGCTCTTCTTAGTAGGAGATGGGACACTTAGCTTTGGACAAGACCAGGTGGCCCCCAGGTGTGTGTAAAACCAGGGACCAGGTCACACCAGGCACTTAGTGGTAATAAAAGGGACGTGTGGTCACAGATCATACCTTTCCCTTTCAAACTGATGTCAAGGTTCAAGGCTGAGTCATGAAGGCACTGGCCTTCCCCCTTCCCCCATGTCCATTGGGCCAGCCTAACCACAAGTCACCTGGGGGCTGGGCGAGGGGCGAGAAATTCCAAGACATTGCTGGTTCCTTCCAGGGATGTAAACTTGCCTGGGATGTGTGTCCTTTTCAAAGTGTGAGATACACTCTGGTACCAAATAGGGCTCCCATGTCACAAAGTGCTCTTCTGGGAGAGGCTCCCGCCAGCGGTACTGTATGAGCAAAGAAGGACCTGGCCAGGCCTCCCGCGGATGAAATTGCACTTCTTAAAGCAACTTTAGAGAAGGTTGGGTGTTTTTTTGTTGTTTTTTTTTTTTTCCTAATCACAAAAATATTCCCCCAAAGAGCCTGAACGATGTTCAGATAGAAGCCTCAAAATTGCTTTTAAATTGTTTACTTTATGATGTTTACAGACACGTCTCACTTTTTTAAAAAGAGAAAAACGCAAAACTCTGGCTTCCTAAACAACTTTTCAGATTTTTTCATGGGACGGTGGAACTCTGACTCACCAGCTGGATTAAATCTTAATTTAGAAATGTATTTATGTGTGTATGTGTGTGTGTGCGTGTGTGTGTTTGTGTGTCCCCCCTCCTAGCCACGTGGCTCCCTCCTGCCCAAACCTCTGTCTCTTTCCCTGGGGGCTCTTGCCTCCTGCTTTGCAGACTGCCTGCAGCCATGATATTGTCACTGACATCTGTGAGCCAAAGACTGAGCCTTTTTTGGCAGGAACAATAAGCAATACTACACAACTTGCTACTTTCAGAAAACTTTTTTTTTAGCTTCACCGATGACAACAGAGGAAGAAGGGAACTGGGATTTGGGTAAGTTCTCCTCCGCTGTTTGACCAAATTCTCAGTGATAAAAACATGTGCAGATCACTAGGAGAACAAGGTTGACTTTCTTTTTTTAGTGTGGCACATAAGGATCTGCAGAATTTTCAGTAGAAAAAAAGAAAGGGTCTTGTGTATTTTTGTCCATATCCAATGTTATATGAACTAATTGTATTGTTTTATACTGTGACCACAAATATTATGCAATGAACCATTTGTTTTTTATTTCATTAAAGGAAGTTTAATTTAAATTGAAGTTGTGTGAGGAACTTGATGTTAGCCTCTGTTATCTGTTTGTGGCTGAATCCCAGTTGCAACCTTAGCACTTTGTGATCTCTTTGAACCCTACAAAACATTATGGATTTTCACAAACTAGAAGAAAAGAACTGGATCTCATAGGGTCCGTGTTGAGATTCCCGCCAATCAGAACGTTATGGGCAAGGATCCTGTTACTTAGGGAAGGTCTCTTGGTCTTCTGGTGAATTCTCATGACCTTATAGGCCTCCTTTTAGGAAAGAGAAGTTAGATATTGTTCCTCTCTGCAGATGAGGAAACAAACACCAAAGCTCTGTGACCATATTGTGACTGGAGCACAGAGGTTTTTCTGAGTCACAATGCAGTCTGCAGCCAAACAGGGCCATAAGGTACTGACCTCCGCAGTGTACAAACAGTCCTCTTCCCCAGACCACTGGCTTCAGCAGACCTGGGCAGGAGCCAGTGCTGAGAGCTCCACTTCCAGGCAGGCCACACTGGGCTGGCCACCGCACTGGGCTGGCCTCGCCTGCCGACTCTCCTGTTGGCCTCACTTGTATCCCCTGTGTCTTTTGAGTCCTGCTCTGGGCCCACCTCGTGCTGTGAGTTATTCAAGGGCTGGGTGTGTGTTCTAATCACTCACTGCCCCATGACTGGCCTTGTTCCAGTCCTGGAGGAGGTACTCGGACTTCATAAACACACAGTTCAACGGTCTGCTGTCGAGAATGACCTGTCATTACCCGCTTGTCAGTGAACCAGGAGGATCCGCTCGTGTCAAAACCCTGATGCAGTCAGAGCTGGCCTGTGGCAATGCCCTACCCTATTAACCCGACTACTAAACCCATTCCTTCCTCAACTTAAATGAAAAGCAAAAACTTAACTTGTACACCTACCATGTGCCTGGGCCGTTAAGCACAGGCACCTGCCACAGTGGCCTTGGCACCTCCCACTTGCTGGCCTGGAAACCTCTTTCCACCTGTCTAATCTGGGCGGCTTCCAGCCCCAGGGAGCCTTTTCCTGCCCTTCCAGGCTAAATGAGGATCCCCTCACCAAATGGTCTGGTGGTCTGAGAGTGTCTTGAGGATTGGGACCGTTCAACACTGTGGCCCCAGTACCAAGTTGTGATAATAACTAGCACTGGGATTCTTACAAGGTGCCCAGTATCTTGTGGGTGTGGTCACAGTCTGAGTCACCCCGAAGGGGGCTGCAGCAGAAGTTCTCAAATGAAAGCCACTTCCATTGCCTTTAACCTGCAGGCCAGTGTGCCTGGCCCACTCTTAAGATTTTATTATTTGGTATGGCAGGGCCAACAGATCAGGAGGCATGCCACACTGCGGAGGGTTGGGGGACACCTGGGGAAGCAATAGAGGAGCAATAAGGTCGATTAATTAGAAGGAAAAGCAGATGAGAGCCTTTGTGGTTCTTTTCCCAGGAAGAAACTGGAAAGTCCAAGTAAGCAGACTTAGGATTGGCTAAGTTGAATGATTTCAGCATGTTCTGGGACATAGGAACTGTCCCTGTCTGGGACATGACCTTGGGGTGATTAAGGCACGAGGATCAGGGTCCTGAGTGTGATAGAGAAGGTGGCGGGTGTGAGCTCTGGATTGGTTGGTTTGCATAGCAAAGGCAAGTTCTCTGTTGAGTCCTTTACCCTCTTTGTAATCGGCTAGCCCCAGGAGGACGGTCTCTCCAGAAGAAGCAAAACTTCAGATGTTAAAGCACCGAAAAGCTAGATAAAATGACATGGTTAGTACACACTGACCGTTTGGGGCTTATAGGCTGCTGAGATAGGCCTACGTGACCCAGCTCCACCCACAGAGGTGCTGCTCACCTGGGTCATCTCTGTTCTCTGTATTCCCAAATCTATTTGTGCCATAATTATATAAATTTATTTAATAGCATGTAAACCACCGAAATGTCAACATTAACGAAAGTCAACAAGAAATATGCTTGCCAGGTGCAGTGGCACACATTTATAATCCCAGGAACTCAGAAGATCTGAGGCAGGAGGACTGCAATTTCAAGACCAGCCTGAACAACTTACTGTGACCCTACACAACTTAGTGAGATGCTACCTCAAAAAAACAAAAGGGGCTGGGGTGTCGCTTAGTGGTATAGCACCCCTGGGCTCAGTCCTTCTGTAGGAAGGAGGGAGGGAGGGAGGAAGGGAAGAACTGTTGGTAAAACTGGATATCCATATGCAAAAGATTGAAGTTGGACCCTTCACACCACACATAAAAATTAACTCAAAGTGGATTAAAAACTAAATGTAAGACGAAAGCTATAAAAATCCTAAAGTAAAACAAGGGGAGGGGGAGCTTCGGAACGCTGCATTGGCAATGATTTCTTGGATATAATACTAAAATCATAAGCAGCAAGACCAAAAATAGATAAATGGGACTATATCAAACTTAAAAAACTTTTGCATGTCAAAGGAAACAATCAACAGAGTGAAATTGACCAGTGGAATGGGAGAAAATATTTACCAACATATGACTGATAAGGGGTTAATACCCAGACTATGTAAGGAACTTTGTTGTGCAGCCAAAAAAACAACCCAATTAAAAACTGGGCTAAGAACTTGAGAAGACAACTCTCCAAAGAATATATACAAATGGCCAACCAGCACATGAAGAGATGCTGAGCATAAGTAATCATAAGAGAAATTCAAATCAAAACCACAATGAGATATCACCTGACAAGTATTGAGATGGCCCACTCTCAAGAGAAAAGTGTCATTCTTGTGCAAGAACGAAGGGAAATTGGAATATGCACTGTTGGTGAGAATGTGAATTGGTGCTGCCATTATAGAAAAAATAGGGGGAATTCTTCAAGAAATTAAAAATAGAATTACCCAATGATTCATTAATCACACTTCTGGGTACATATATCCAAAAGAAGCCAAAGTCATATATCAGACATTGCATGTCCATGTTCATGATGGCATTCACACTAGTAAAGAGGTGGAAGCAACCTCAATTGCTATCCACAGAAGAACAGATAAAGAACGTGTGGTATTATACAGCTATCAAGAAGGATGATTTTTCTTACATATACTACCATGTGGATGAACCATGATGACATTATGCTAGTGAAATAAACCAAGTCCCAAGAACAAATATGTATGGTTCCTTTCATTTAAAGTATCTAAAATAAAATGTATAGCAACAGAAGGTAGAAATGTGGTTGCCAAGAGCTGGGGAGGGAAAATTGGTGTGGAATTTC